AAGCCTTCCAAGTCCCCCGAAGATGGGGTATCTTTTGCCATATATTCAGGCAATAAGACATGACAGGCACTTTATTTCATCAGGGCTACACACCTTGAATGCATTTTGTGGCATAAGGCCAAAGTACAAATGACTTCAACTCTCACGAAATGCAATATCCTTCCACAAAGGCATTAAAATCATTGCACCGGCTTATTAGTATAAGAAATAAAAATTACTTGAAAACTAAGGAGGAAGAAAGATTTCCTAAGATAGGTTCCTGGGGGTCAGGTGCCCAGATTGCCAATAAGAAACTTCCATTTGCAAATAATGTTCAAAAGACACTTCTTAATATAGTCAGCCTGGAAAAGGGCTCTGAAATCTGAGAGCAACTGGTTCTCCTTGTATTGCCAAAGGGCAAATGTCAAAGCATAGCATTAGAAGGTGAGATCTGTGTCAGCATGTAGACCCTTAAACCAGCTTTCTGCGTGTAGATGGTTCCTATTTTCTCATTTCTCCTAAAAGATTGCAAGAGGGTTCGTGTGTTTATAAAAGAGTTTTTAACACTTTGGGACCAATTTGCCTTTTAAAAATTTGCCTTTGTGAATGAATGCTCCAGGGTAGTCATAATCTAGCCCTTCTAAATCCCTGCCTCCCAGCCAGAAAGAGGCACATTTCTAGATGATTAGAGAACTTCAGGTGGGAACCTTACTCTGCTTCTGGCTTTATGCCTTAAAATATGACCTAAGGCAAGCTATCATTTCCCAGAAATGAAATATGTCATATGTTGCTATTAAAGTGAACCAGAAAAAGAGCATTCTATTACAATAATGGGTTTTGTTTAAAAAAATTCAAATGTCAAATCCCCAAAGGAATAATACATATTTGATACTATTAGTAGAACAGCAATACCAGTAATTGTATGAGGTACTTATACTTTGCATTGTTCATCCAGTAAAGGGATTTTATGTAAACCCTTCAGTAAAATTATTGTATCAGAGGAAAATGAGGAACAGCATCACTGATTATTCATGCAATCGATATACATTTATTGGGGGTGACTGTGTCTTGGTTATCAGTCTAAATACTGGGGATGAAAAAAAAAAGACTAGGACAGTTTCCTGCCTTCAAGGAGCACACATTCCAGATGTGGAGACAGATGCAGCAACTAACTACAATGCAGTGTTACAATAGATATGGCAGAGACTTCGATGAGGCCATGGAGTATACTGCAGGGAACTATGAATTCTGACCAAAGAGGCCTGTATTATCCTAGTGTCCTGTTTGAGCTGAGCTGAACCTTGAAATATCAGGATGAAGCATGCGTTAGGCAGATGGAAATGAATGGGCAAAAGTATAGCAGTCAAAAACGTCATGGTACCCTTAGGGACTGGTGAGTGGTTTTTTTTTTTTGTAACTACAGCGGTAAATCTGTCAAGCTGTCTGATGTCAAACATTGAACTTTCATGGACTAGAATGAGTTAAAAAAAATCTGAATGCTTTTTGCGCAGTAGAATTTTACAAAATAAAGAGCCAAGGAAAGCAATGAGAGAAAGAGACAAAATGCTGCATGGAATAAAACTGTCATTCTCATCCTGACTCATCTGTTAACTTAGGAAAATACACTTACATCAAGAAATGCCAGAAAATTGCTCACTTCACGTGCTTATGGGTAGATTGAACCCAATTTTGTGGCATTAAAACCAATTTTCTGCTGAGAAAACATGTCACAGAGGATTACATGAACCTTTATAATTATTAATAATATTTGATACTTTGATGTCACCTTTCATCCTGAGATCAGTGCCATACACACAGAAACAGATAAGCTCCAAGGAAACAGAGATGATATTAATACATTAAGTCACAATGCTTTTCTCTCTTCCATATTCCAAGGGCTTTCTGGCCGTGTGTTTCTCTCACCTTTGGAAGTTAGTGGATGTAGGCCGGGCGTGGTGGCTCACGCCTGTAATCCCAGCACTTTGGGAGGCTGAAGTGGGTGGATCACGAGGTCAGGAGTTTGAGACCACCCTGGCCAACATAGTGAAACTCCGTCTCTACTAAAAATACAAAAAAATTAGCTGGGCATGGTGGTGGGTGCCTGTAATCCCAGCTATTTAGGAGGGGCTGAGACAGGAGAATCCCTTGAACCCAGGAGGCGGAGGTTGCAGTGAGTTGAGATCACGCCACTGTACTCCAGCCCAGGCGACAGTTTGAGGCTCTGTCTCAAAAAAAAAAAAAAAAAAAAAAAAAAAAGTTAATGGATGTAGTTATAAAGCAGTGATTTTTTAATTTTTGTTTTTATTAGCTCCTACTACAAGAAGTCTTAGGCTACAGTACAGGCCACATCTTTCTGTTCACAGCTTTCCTTGGAAGATCAGCTTTGGACATATCGGTTCTCCTACTCCTTAGCTTCTTTGCCTGCTGATCTCATCCTGACATACCAGAAGTGGGCTGTGTCTTCATGGATTCTTTGACTTCCACAAGAGACTAACAAGGCATCATCATCTTTGTCAACATCATCATCATCATCATCACCATCATCGTTATCATTATCCTTCCAACTACAACCCCCACTACTGCTGCTGCTTATGAAGTAAGCACTCTATGCACTATTCTACTATTCATATATATATATATCATATTAACTAATTCCACACCAACATTATAGGGTAGTGCTGTCCACTATAGCTTGCTGCAATGATGGGAATGTTCTATATCTGTGTTGTCCAATATGGTAGCCACCAGCCACATGTAGCTATTGAGCACTTGAAATATGGTTAATGCGACTGAGGAACGGCATTTTTCTTTTATTTAATTTTAATTAATTTCATTGACATAGCCACATGGCTAGTGACTATTGTATTGGAAAACACAGTTACAGCCTCTGGGGGTTATTGTTACCTTTTTAAAAACAAAGCTCTGTTTTCATCAGTAGCAGGAACTTAATAAGGACTAGTGTGAGTGAATGGTTCAGAAATATGTTATTGAAGCTAAAAATACAGATGCTCCTTGACTTCCAATGAGGCTTATGCCCTGATAAACTCATCATAAGTTGAAAATATCATAGGTCAAAAATGCATTTAATATACCTTAAACTACCAAGCCTCACAGCCTAGCCTAGCCTACCTTAAACATGCTCAAAACACTTACAGGAGCCTACAGTTGGGGAAAATTATCTAACACAAAGCTAATTTATAGTAAAGTGTTGACTGTCTCATGTAACTTATTCAATACTGAACTGAAAGTGAAAAACAGAATGATTATATATGGTCCATAATCAAAATATGGTTTCTACTGAATGTATATGGCTTTTGCACCATGGTAAAGTCTAAAAATATAAGTAGAAGCATCACAAGTTGGAGATAATCTGTATTTTAAAAAGAAGTCCCACATTCTACATTTGGAGAGCTTTTAGTTCATCCTTCCCCGACCCTGTTAAAATTTGATTCAAAAGAATTCTGTGGAATATATAGGGTAACATAAAGTCATTTCTAAACCAAGAACATTTACAAAAGATGTGGATGATGTCTTAAACCTCATTGTAGTCCAACTATCCCAAGTAGTCAGCACCGGTAAGCACTAGTCCCTCTATTGAAAATTGAAATTCCAATTACTGATTTTCCAAAAGAAGACATTCTCCTCCACTTAAGAAATGGAACAATGAAAGAGGGTTTTCTGTTTCTGGTGACCAGGGAGAAACGGAGTCTTCACACAAAGTCTTAGTTCATATTCAGCCCTCCTTTCCCTGAAACCACATCCCCAGGATTTATCTGGTTTGTTCGTGAAAATATGGGAAAACACTTTAAGGAGAAGAAACTGATCAGATGACTTAATTACATTTCTGCTTAGTCCACCCTGTAACTTAGACTGTTAGAGAGAGAGAACTTAAGTAGCCCTTGGTTTGAACCATCTGTCGCGAAAATGTGACATATGTTTGCTTTGTTTACTCAACAACCAAGTGTAAACTGATACACTGAACTAGAGGATCCCTGAATGGTGTGGCTATGGGTGTGTGTGTATTGGAGGAGGGGTGTCTGATGAGGGCGTCCTTCTCCTCATACCTACCCCGGAGGAACACGCGTACAGCACAAGAGGAGTGCGGATCCGTAGGATGTCCCCCGGGTTTGGGGCGCGCCCGGAGACACAGACCCTCTTTGGCGACTCCACACAATGTGCAGCCTGCCTGCAAGCAGCCGCTGCAGCCTAGGGGCGCGCCTGGCTGATGTGTGGTTGAATGGAGAGCGGCCCAATCCTCTTCCTTCCTCCTCTTCTCCCCGCCCTGACACCCGGGCCTCAAACTTCAACCAAAGCCCGTGCCCTTTTCAATTAACCCCCCTCGATCAAAATGAGCCATTCTTTTCTCTCCTCCGCGGCGGCCCATTGTCTGGCGTGATAGGTTTGCTGATTTGACAGCTGGGCGCACACATATTTGATTCAAACTCGGTCTCCCCGAGAGATGAACTTGGACATCAGCAAAGATCCCGAGCACTGCGGGCTGGCTCCTAGACCAGTCTCCGGACCCAGTGTAGACTTCGGTGCCCCGGGCGCCCCCCGGCGTGCGGGAAGGGGAGCGTGTGTCAGGGGTGGGGGGCGGGGAGTGAGCAGCACGACTGGGAACGAGGGCTATGTACATGTTAGGCTTTTTTAGGCTTTCTTTTCTTTCTTTCTTTCTTTTTTTTTTTTTAAATTTATTCTCGAAACAGCCAAGATGGAGGTCAGCTTATAAATTTCCTAAAGCCAGGTCTGGCCGGGTTTAAATGCAGTGGGTTGGGGGCTCGGCTTTTGTCTCCTTGTCGGAGCTCGAGGAGATAGGTAGAGACTGCGTGTGCATGTGTGCGTGTGAGTGTGAGTGTGCACGCGCTGGCGTGGACGAACGGGTGGGCGCATCCCAGGATCGCCGCTCCGGCGTCCTGGATCTGAGTGTGTCTTCTACGCACCAAGTCTTGAATCACAGCCACTAGTGACGTGGGGGGAAAACTTTGTGTTCCAAAGAAGGGTCTGGCTCGATTGCCCTAAGAAGAAAGAGCCCTTGTGCCCGTATGTGTGTGTGTGTGTGTGTGTGTGTGTGTGTGTGTGTGTCTCAGAGAGAGAGAGAGAGAGAGAGAGAGAGAGAGAGAGAGAAAGTGTCTGGCAGCACCCGCGGCCGGCTGCAGAACGCTGTGTGTCCTGTGCACGCGTGCTGTCCGGCCGCGGGTCTCACCGCAAGCGAGCGTGTGCAGCTGCGGCTGCCTGGAGGGCGAGCTTAGGAGGGGGCTGGAGCTGCGGGGCAGCGGGAGCAGGAGCAGGCCGAGGGTCCGCTGGCCAGAAGAAATCTGGCCTCGGAACACGCCATTCCCCGCGCCACTTCCAATAACCACTAACATCCCTAATGAGCATCCGAGCCGAGGGCTCTGCTCGGAAATCGTCCTGGTCCAACTCGGCCCTTGGAGCTCTAGAAGATTGCCGCATCTATTTTTTTCTTTCTTTCTTTTTTTTTTTTTCCTAGGGCAAATAAAGTGAGCCCGGAAAGGGAAGGAGGGGGCGGGGACACCATTCCCCCCGAAAGAATAAATAAGTAAATAAACTGGCTCCTCGCCGCAGCTGGACGCGGTCGGTTGAGTCCAGGTTGGTGGCATTTGGAGCTTTTTTCGTTCTGTTTGGGAACCCATTGCCGCTTCCTGTCCCTCTTCCCCACTCCTTCTTCCTCCCTCCCCCGGCCACCTCTTTCCGTTTTGCAGGCGTCTCCCAACTTTGGGGCCCGGGGGGCGCTCGTGGCGCCGGGCTGCACCTGCCGGGGCGCGCGGGGACTGCGGGCCAGCGCGCTCGCCCTGGGCGGGGGTGCGGAAGCGCCCGAGTCCGGGCACCCGGCGAGGGTGTGAGAGGTGCGGACACTCAGGAGGGAGCCGAGGACACGCGGTGGGTAGGGGCGCAAGAACTGGGTTTCAGCCCCAGTCGGGACATCGGTTCCCCATGGCTTGGCGGCCTCTGGAGGGAGACGAGTCCCGGGGAGAGGGAGGGCGGCGACAGGGGCTAGGTATTGGCGATCTGAGTGGGGAGGGCCGGCGGCTGAGGGAGCTCGGTGGCTGACGGAGGAGGGGGAGGCCAACTTCCCGGGAGAAGGGGCTCTTTCGGCGCCAGGGCTGGCTGGGGAGCTGCCGCCGCCGCCACCGAGGGCTTGTATTCCAGGCAGCGGCCGGCTCCGCTCACGGCGCTCGGAAAGTACCGTTTATTTATTTATTTGCTCGTGTTCAGCCTCTCGGATTGAACCCAACAGACACCCCCTTGGACTTTAGGAACCCTCTTCAGACCTCTCCAGCCCTCACCCCCATTCCCGTGTCAGCGGCCCCTGGAATACACGCACATGCACCCCGACCCGGGTGGGGGTGGGTCTTCACCCTGGCGTTGGAAAGTCTCCAAAGGCGGGAACGGGGGAGGGGAGAGGGGCTGTGGGGGGAGTCTCCTGCGCTCTCCGCTCTCATCTCAAAGTGCGCCCTCCCTTCCAGGTTGGGTCGGACCTGAACCCCTAAAAGCGGAACCGCCTCCCGCCCTCGCCAGCCCGGAGCTGAGTCGCCGGCGGCGGTGGCGGCTGCCAGACCCGGAGTTTCCTCTTTCACTGGATGGAGCTGAACTTTGGGCGGCCAGAGCAGCACAGCTGTCCGGGGATCGCTGCATGCTGAGCTCCCTCGGCAGGACCCAGCGGCAGCTCAGGATATTTTTTGGGGGGCGGGGACCAGCCCCGCGCCGGCACCATGTTCCTGGCGACCCTGTACTTCGCGCTGCCACTCTTGGGTAAGTCGAGGCCCGCCGCGGGCTTTCTTACCCGCTGAGTCTTTCCTAGGGTCGTTTGCAGCAGCCCACTCCGCCCCCCGCACCAAAATTGGGGCGCGGGTGCGGTGGATGTGGGAGGAAGAAGTTTCGTTTTGGGGAAGGGGATCGCGAATCCCCGGGTTAGGGAGGCGGTGGCGGTGCGGCGCTGCCCGAAGCTTTTCGGGCTTGGTTTTGATTTCCTGTGGTTTTTAATGACCCAGCTTGGCGGGGGACTAAGGAGCCCTCCAGCCCAGGGCCCTGCAACCCCAGAGAGTCTCCGGCAGCTCGCGGAGCCGCGGCAGGCAGGTGGAGTTGGGGAGCATTGGGGGCGGGAGACCAAACTTGGAAAAGTTTTTCCCGAGTAGCTTCTGAGCGCTCTCCGCCCGGCCGACCGCTGACCACGGCTGGCCTGCCCCGCGCCCAGCGCGCGCCCGGTGCCCAGTCCGCCGCCGCGCTTCTCCTCGGAAAGACCCTGAGTTTTAGTCGGGCGGAGCGGGTGGCTGGAGCTGGGGGTGGCCCAGGAGCCCGGGTCGTCGCTCAGGCCAGGATGCCGCGGGGCGGAGGGCCGACGTGCACGGTGGGCAGCGCAGGCTCTGGAGCAAACCCTTAAAGCCCGCGGGCTGAGCCTGCGCCACCCTTCCCTACGGGCCCGGAAGGGAGAGGAGCTGGAGTTCCTGGGGGCGGGAAAATGGACTCCCGGATGGTCGAGAGGTGGACCCGCTCGATCCCTGAGCAGGGCGCCCCCGAAGGCTGGTCAAGCATCCCTGACCTGGGCGCGCGCCCTCGCCCGGATCAGTGGCGTCCCGGGTCCCCGCCCGCCGCACTCAGGCTCCCTCTCCTCTACCCCACAGACTTGCTCCTGTCGGCCAAAGTGAGCGGCGGAGACCGCCTGGACTGCGTGAAAGCCAGTGATCAGTGCCTGAAGGAGCAGAGCTGCAGCACCAAGTACCGCACGCTGAGGCAGTGTGTGGCGGGCAAGGAGACCAACTTCAGCCTGGCATCCGGCCTTGAGGCCAAGGATGAGTGCCGCAGCGCCATGGAGGCCCTGAAGCAGAAGTCGCTCTACAACTGCCGCTGCAAGCGGGGTATGAAGAAGGAGAAGAACTGTCTGCGCATTTACTGGAGCATGTACCAGAGCCTGCAGGGTACGCCCGGAACCTCCCCACACCACCCTGCGTCCCTCCCCGAAGGCAGGCGGGCCCTCCGTCCCCCGGCCAGCTGATCTCATCCTCCACTCACTTCTCCCCAGCTGCGGAATGAGGACCTTTCATTGGCCCCCAGGGACAACGGCAGCTGGTGTTTGCTGGGCTGACCAGCATTGTTGAGCCTGGTTGTTGGAAAACCCATGAGGAGGTCGGGGGCGCGGCGGGGGGCACCCCTGGGACCCCACTGACCTCTCTGAAACCTGGTCAGAGCATAGGAGGAGGATCCCACTCAAGGACCCCAAGGAACCCACAACTTCTTTCCAAGGAGAGCCAGCCTGGAGCTTTCGGTGGCCTCAGAATAATAATAGGAGGGCTTGCCCTGCAGCTGGTCTGGACTTTCCCCCGGTCTTGTTCCCTTTAGTCTGCTCTGACCTGAGATAGAGTATTGTAAAAGGTCCAGGAAAATCCATTCTATCTTCACCCTCCCCACCAAACGTGATCAAAGGCAGATGTGTGAAAAACCGTTTGTCATCTTACATTAGCTGAGTCTTGAACCAGCTGGTGTGGTTCAACCTCGGTTATCACAGAAGTAGCTCAGGGAGAGAAAGAACCACTTGTCACAACCATCCAGTCCAATGGGAATGTTTTGGTCCTCGTAAGCCAGAGGGGGCTCATGTTTGTAAACCTAACACAAACACCTTGTGTGTTCATTCTCGACTGAGACTCACACGGGAGATATGTATTATACAGATTTGACCTGTCGGCAGCCACTTCCTCCAGAGTCTATTAATGAAAACCTGTTTCAGAGATGGGCTGTTTAATAGCCATGGTACCTGCCTTCCAACTGTATGCCAAGTTTTGGGAGCAAGCAGAAATGTGGGTCTTTCCTGGGTCACCTTTCTTCCATTGGCTCCTGGAGGCAAGCAGGGCTCGTGACGTCATCGGCTCCAGCTTTCCTCTCTGATTTCTATTCCTTTGCAAAGAGTGGGAGAGTTTTCTGGCAAGATCGGGCTGGGTTGTTCTCCAATGTTTTCATGGCACTCTGGGGAGAACAAGGACAACAAAAGCAGAGGGAATGAAAAGAAATAACCATAGAGAAAGAGATGCATTTGAAATCTTTCAAAGTTTCAGCATCTTTTTGTTACACAATCATAACATAATTAGAATTCAGATTCAGCAGCAAAAACCTGCTTGAAATATATGATTTTCATATCTGAGCCCAGTCTTTCTGTTGTTTTTAGGAAATGATCTGCTGGAGGATTCCCCATATGAACCAGTTAACAGCAGATTGTCAGATATATTCCGGGTGGTCCCATTCATATCAGGTAAGCAGATTTATAGTTCCACGCCGATGCTTTTGTGTGCTTGAATTCGTTGGCTTGCATTCTCTTTGGCTCTCAAAGAGCGTATAAGTAGATAGTTGAATGGCACAGTGTTTCTGGGAAATTAGAAATAGGATGATGATAATGAAGAGGCAGAATGCCTAGAGATGATTGTATGACTTGAAAGTAATTCTAAATGAAGTAATGTGGTGTGGTGGTTTGGAAGAGGTTCGAGGGAGATGACTTGGTTGAGTTTTTTGTTTTTTGTTTTTTTTCCACATTAAAATATGATTGGCCATCTCTTGCAAAGGGAGTGCCACTTCTGTCTGTAGGTGGCAATCGTATTCTCTTTTGCTGCATACCTTACATAGTGCCTCCCTGGAAATGGGATCTGTTCAGATTATGCCACTTACTTTACAAGAGGCCTGAATATAATCTTAGATTGTTGAAAAATTTGGGATGAATTCTCTTGTCTGCCTTTGATTTAAAAGATTAAGCTCTGCCATTTGTTAAGAATTCTTTTGCTTCTATTTTTTCCTGAGCAAGTGTGTGCATTTATGAGAGAATGTACTCCTGCCCCAACGGCCCTTTTAAATGTGGTCTCACTTCCCATGGTTTGTTTTGTCTCTCTTTGCAGTTCTATGTGTGGTTTGGAAATGAACTTTGTTTTAGAATTAAGTTTTTCATAACATCTGCTTTCAGACAGCCCATAAATAAGCAAGGCAGTAATTTATCTTTATGACATACAGATTCCAGACTAATGTTGTCTTTATTTATTTACAGTTTAGACATTTTCTCAAGTATATATAGCCACCACAAATTATATGTCTCTCAGTGGTTAAACGTGATGGTTAATGTTGAATTTGATTCTATGAGATTATGGTTTGTAACTGGTGAGAGTGTCCTGGTGTTCTAAATGTTTTGTGTGCGTGTGTGTTTTTTTTTTGTTTTTGTTTTTTTGTAGAAAAGCCACAGGATCAAGGGAGTGTATAAATACTGATATTTTATTTAGGTGTATTATACATGCATTCATCCATTCACCAAACATCCATTGAGCCCCTACTATGTTCTAGCTATTGTGGTTTGGGCAGTGAGCCAGTCATCACCTTGCCCTCATGAATCTTAGAGATAGACAGGAACTGACATTTATCAAGCCTTATTATTTGCCAAGCGCTGTGTTAACAGTGTTACATCATTAATTTATGTAATCATCAAGTGCTTCTTAGGTATTAATATTTCCATTTTATAGATGATTAAATTGAGGCATAGTGAAGTTAGGAAACCAGTGCCAAATCACGAAAGTCTTAAATGGTAGAACCAGAATTGAAACTTGGATTTGTTTGATTCTAAGCTTTTGTAACATCTACCCTTTGCCACTCAGAGTGTGGTTTCTATACTGGCATCATTGACATTGCCAGGGAATTCATTAGAAATACAGGATCTCATTTTAACTACTGAATCAGAATACACATTTTAACAAGATCCCTGGGCTGGGTGCTTCATATGCACATGAAGCTTGAGAAGCGTTCCTCTACATCATTCTGTCTTTTCCTTCAGAGGAAAAGTGTGTGTGTGTGTGTGTGTGTGTGTGTGTGTGAGAGAGAGAGAGACAGAGAGTCTGTTTTGGCATAAGATATAAGGATACAAGCTTAGTATAAGAGGAATTCAAATGTTTCTCTGTGTAATACCAATAATTTCCACTCCATGTCACTTCTAGTGCTTTCTGTCCCTTTGATCCAGCCAGGACAGTGTTTTAAGCAGTGGAGAGGAGATGTACAGACAAACGTATGTGACCACCTAAGCTCTCCTGGGAGCAGATCTGTAGAAACTAGGATGCAGTGTGGCCAGTGGAGTGCCAGAGGCAAATCTGACCTTCATCCTGCTTTTGAGGGACAATGCCTCTTACCTACTGTCTGCCCTGTGGACTCCTCAGTCTTTTGTACTGATCCCTTGGAAGGGTATGAGCCTCTCCATGGTCACTGATAGTGAGGAAACAGGCAAGGAAGAAGGGCCATTGGGTTTTAATTTCAGAATTTCTACGAGCAATGGGTTTTTGTTTGTTTCTTGCACTGCCGCCCAGGGCCCAGGCTGGAGTGCAGTGCCATGATCTTGGCGCACTGCTACCTTTGCCTCCTGGGTTCAAGTGATTCTCCTGCCTCAGCCTCCCAAGTAGCTGGGATTGCAAGCGCCTGCCACCATGTCTGGATAATTTTTGTATGTTTAGTAGAGAAATACATGTCACCATGTTGGCCAGGCTGGTCTTGAACACCTGACCTCAAGAGATTCACCCGCCTCGGCTTCCCAAAGTGCTGGGATTACAGGTGTGTGCCACCATGCCTGGCCACAATGGGGTTTTTATTATTTTTTTTTTAACTTTTTTTTTAGAGACAGGGTCTTGATCTGTTGCCCAGGCTAGAGTGCGGTGGCTTGATCACAGGTCACTGCTGCCCCGAACTCCTGGGCTCAAGCGATCCTCCTATCTTAGTCTCCCGAGTAGCTAGGACTACAGGTGTGCCACTACACCGGCTAGCAATTGAGTTTTTTATCACTCATTTTCCCTCTCAGAGTTGCTCTTTCATTTGTATAATGAGGTAATTGGAGTAAATAATCTCTAATCGTTACAGTCCGTGGATCTGAGAAAAGGTTGGGCTCATCTCTAGAATTCTTCCACAGTTCTCTTACGTCACCTTCTCCAGCCTTGCAATCATTTCAACTCTTAAGGAGGCATGGTCATTCTCAGATACCACAGGTTTGTCTGAATTTATGAGTACTGGACATTCTTCTGCATGGGCCGAGTTTCACTTATGCATTCCTTGGATCTCATTCACAGGCCAGGTTTCTTTTCACAGAAAGTATGATCTGGAGTTTGTGAGCCCTTCCTGCCTAGAACCCAGAAATCATAATGAATCAGCCAGAGCCAGAAAGGCCTTGTCTAGAGCTCCATTTTCTATCTCAAGGGCATTGGCTTTAGGTTCCAGCACTAATGAGCTTTGACCTCTGACAGTGACTGTGCTCCTTAAGTGGGATAGTAAAGCCAAATGGAACCTCGAGAGGCTTTAAGTCATTGAATAATGCATATTATCCAGTTTGGCCTTTGTAGGATGGAAAAAGATGGAGGAACAGGACGATAAATGTTGCTTTTCACGGTTTGAATCTGAGCTTTCTAGAACATCCCTTCTGTCTTGAAAATTTGTCTGAGGAAACCAGGACAACAGTGTCTCTGCTTTTCACAGATATGGTAGCAATCAGAGTTTCCATATTTGGATATCTCTGCCCAACATGAAGAGCATGTTTATCCACATACACTAAGGGTGAGCTGAATCCTCCCAAGGAACAAGACATGTTTGACATTCTTGTGTTTCCATTTTCCTTGGATTCCTCAAACCCACGGTCATTTTAGCCATTGTTTGCTTGCTAACCACATAAAAGGCCTTGCTGATGTATTATCAGTGGTCTGTTGGGAACAAGCAGGAGAACAAAAATAAGGTGGAATCTAAAAACCGTCCTCTCTGTTTTGAAGCTTGAAATGCAGAAGGGAAACCAAGTAGCCAAGTCAGGAGAGAACTGCAGAGGGAGGGTGGAGGGCTGCTTTCCAGAAACCTGAGAGTGGAAGCCTTTGGCCCCTGGGGCACGATTAAGGGCTTAAGGAGGTGTGTTTCCTGTGGGGTGAGGCTAGTGTGGGTTTTAGGGGCCTGGAACATGAAGTGAGTGGGAGGACACACAGGAAAAAGTAAGCCAGTGCAAGAGGATGTCGGAGGAGAGGCAGGAACACAGAAGCGTCCTGGGATCCCAGAGGGCAGAGCTGTGTGGGCGCTCAGGGGCTCAGAGGCAGAAGCTAGTATGCGCAATGCACTGTTTAGCATCTGCGTCTCTCTCAGCCAAGCTCTCTGCTCTTGCACCTCTGTTCTGCCCCTGCTTTTCTTCCTCAGAAAAGTTCAAGACACAGCAAGAAGTAAATAGGGATTTGAAAGGATAATGAACCAATTGGCAATTTTTTTTTTTTTTGGACTCTCTGGAGTGGAAGAACAAAGCAGTGAGAAATTTTGAAAATGCAGTAAGTGCTAAGAAAAGCCTGAGGATGGGGATCAGAGGGAGGACAGAAGCACCTCTTTGGCAGCAAGGTTTAAAACTATTGATTGGGAGACTGGATTTTTGTAGAGAAGTCAGGAGATGCCAGGCTTTCCTTAATATGCAAGTTAATGATATTGCATGCAAGAATCAAGTGGATAGATTGTAGGGAAAGAGTAATGTTAGGTTTTGAACATCCTGATTTTCTGGAAGAAAAGGTCGCAGCTTCTAGCGCTCGTCATTTTCCTACCAAGTCCTAGGAGTGACTTTGACCTTCCTGGGAAGCCTTAGGATCTCCAGATTGGTTACCAAGTAATTGGAAGTGGTTTGCTCCAGGATGAGATGCGCCTAAACTCTCTTTTGAGTCTTGCCTCTTTTTTTCTGAGTGATTCTGTGAATAATTAGCCATGTTTAGCATTTCTGTTCAAATGCACCATCATATTTAAGTCATTATTTTTAAAAAAGTTATTACACAGTTTACATGTTGGAGAAGAGCCTTGTAACATCCCCTGCTTTCTTGTCAGGTCATGACGAGAGAAAGCCTTGTAAATACCAGCTATTAGGGGTCGTGGTGGTCCTTTTCTTGCCACTCAGCTGTCTAATCCTGGTTCCTATATTTGAGAACCCCCATTCATTTCCTGTTATTTACTCTGGCATATGGTAAACTCCTTAGTGGGCCAGTGGAGGCCCTGCTCTCCATCTTGAAGCCCCACACCCCCTCTCCACTCAAGCTCACTGAGCCGAACAATTCCCCAAGTATTTCATGTACATTCACTTTCCTGTGCCTTTGCACATGGCCTTGCCTTTACTTAGAAAACTTCTATCAGTTCTTTAAGACCAAGATCAAATTTCGCCTCTGAAGGCGTTTGCTGGAATCCCCCCAAACAGGCAATTCCACTCAGGACTCCCTCGTGCTCCGTCGTGCTCTTGCCTTT